CATCCATCCATCCATCCATCCATCCATCCATCCATCCATCCATCCATACATCCCTCCATCCATCCATCCATGCATACATCCATACATACCTGCAGGACTCACTGAGTTGGTTTAACTGTACTTGGGAATTTGAGTTGATGCACATCTGTCTTTTAAGCCACATGTTGAAAACTTGATAAAGAAACTGAAATTAAACTGGATTTCTTTTTCAGAAATAGATCTAGTCAACTCTGAATGCTAGGAAATGCTTTGTAGCTGCTACTTTCCTACCGGCCATTGATCATGGTGACATCATTTACATGAATGCCCCTGCCAGCTGCTTGCAGATGTTGGATGTTGTCTACCATGGCGCGCTAAGATTCATAACTGGTTGTAACTACCGTACCCATCACTGCACCTGCACTCCTTGGTCAGCTGGTCATCATTATCTACACGTAGGCTCTCATACCGGTTCATTTTCATCTATAAATCCCTCCTTGGTCTGCTACCTTCTTATATCTCCTCCCACGTGTCACGCCATCAGTGCAGTTACAGCGTGCGCTCTCAGGACATCATTACCTGCAGCGTTCCCTCAGTGTGGACTGAACTTGGCAAAAAGGCCTTTTCCTACTCAAGCTTCTGTAACCTGAAACACCTTGCAACAGGAACTGAAGTTGTCCACCTTAATTTCTTTAGGGGTTTTTAAACAATTGACAATGTCAATAGAAACATCAAAGCAAATATGTTCTTGTTTTTAGTATTTGACCTTGTTTTATATGGCACCTTGATTTGACTGTTTTTATAAAACTATGTGCATTTTACCGGTAATTGCTTTTTATTGTTGTATACTGTTGACTGTACTCTACATGTTGTCTGTCTAAAACTGGTCTCTCTTGAAAATGAGTCCTCAGGACTCAACGAGACTATCTGTATAAATAAAGGTTAAATAAATAAATAAAATAAAACAGGATCACAGCATGCAAAGTTTTATGAGGTTAACTTAATCATTTGATAATGAGGTAACTTACTGAACCGTGGAAGAAGCAGTCGTCAGTGGCTCTTCTTGTTCCTCTCTGGAGTGTTTTTGCTAAAGAAAAATACAAGTTTACTTAGTTGCAAGTACTACAGTTTCTAATATCCTTAATCTTCTATACTTTACACACAGCAAGGCCACACCCTGCCATTACAGTGCAGGTTCAAACATGTAACATTTTGCTTCATTTCCCACTGAATAACCATAAACATGAGCGGCTACCTGGTTGTTGTCCATGTCTCTCCGCCTCCAGGAGAACCACCAGCGTCCTGACTTTTTGGACATCTTGTCCTTCACCAGACGCTCTACTGTACCCTTTGTATGACAAACACTAAATAAGCTAAAAGCTTGCTTTTTTTTAAGCTTGTAGTGTAAATTATTGGAGGATGCTTTATTTTCCATATTTTTAAAAGAGTAAAATACCTTGGGGAGGTTTTTTTGAAAAGCTGACATTGACAGGATCATCGGAGCAGCCACCGCCCAGTTGTAATAACTGTGAACGTTTAAAATAAAATGATGACGTTCAGAATGAAATGTCAGGTGTGATTTAACTAAAAAATAAAAAAATCTTACTTGGAATTGATGCAGAAAACAAGACTCGGATCCTCAATGATTCCTGGATTGTTGATAAAATCCTGGTACGTCACAAGGTGCTCCGTAAACTTTTCTGGTGCAGTTTTAAAACAAAATAACAAATGAAGATGACAAATATTTCACCTCATTAACGAGACTGACAAACTAGCACTCATGAACTCTGACCTTTGGTGATCTGGCGGGTGTCGCCTTCTTTTCCACAGAGGGAAATGCTGACGTCCATGTTGTAGCAGGTGGAATCAGACAGATACTCTGTCCCGCTGTCCATCGCCGCACTGCCCACTGACTGAGGAGAATGGCTGCCTGAGCCAGAGCCCAGATCTGCAACCGAGTGAAACGCTCCCTCTGCCTCACTGCAGGCAGACCAAATAAAACACACAACAATAATAATACATATTTATCTTTTGTCACTCCAAAGATACCATTATATAACTAGTGACTTTTTAAAATGTAGAAAGTTATTAGCTAAATGTGCTGTGGGTTCAAAAACCTAATTTTGTTCTATAGATAAAGGTTTCAGTGATTATAACATGTATTTTTTTGTTTTACAGCACAGTTTGTTTTATCATGAACAAGTTCAAATCTTACATTTTGGGAAAATAAAGTGCAGCCACCTCAGGATCCAGTGAGGTCAGATCATCCAGGTAAATATCTGTTGGTCCTAGATGATGATTTCGTTTACCTGCAACCAATTTGACAACGAGGTTCAAGGTTCTTTATTCGCATCACATGTGGTACATGAGGTGGAACGAAATTATGTACTCAAGGTCCCAGTTACACCCAAAAGTAGCAAAAGAAACAGTATATAAGGATCTAAGATATACACTAAAAGAACACTAAATTATATGCTAAATATCTAAGATATACACCAAACACTAATAATGTAAAATAATGCAGTGTATTAAACAGCAGCCTGAACAGGAGTCTGTCGTGAGCACATGGATATGAAAACAGCAGCATGGATAAGTCATATGTCACTAATTAAAGTGGCATTGCAGTGATTATTCTGGTTAGAGATTCATGAGTCTAACAGCCTCAGGGTAGAAGCTGTTCCTCAGTCTAGTGGTTCTACACTTAATGCTCCGCAACCTCCTTCCTGAGGGGAGCGGGGCAAAAAGTGTGTGTGCTGGGTGGGTGGGGTCCTTCATGATGCAGGTGGCCCTCTTCCTGCATCTGGAGGTGTAGATGTCTGTGATGGTGGGGAGGCTGACTCCAACATCTTCTGTGCAGCCTTCACCACTCTCTGCAGAGCTTTTCTTCCTGCAGCTGTGCAGCCTCCATGCCACACGTTGATGCTGGAGCACAGGATGCTCTCCACTGCACACCTGTAGAAGGAGGTGAGGACTGAGCTTCCCAGACCAGCTCGTCTCAGCCGCCTGAGGAAGTAGAGTCTCTGATGATCTTTCTTGATCAGGCTGGTGGTGTTGTTGCTCCAACTGAGACACACCATAGTGACAAAATACTTAAGGTAGTAATCCAAGTGTTTGCAACAAGGTGACCAGTTAGCCTTGTTGAAGATTTTAGCATGGTCTGTTTTTTAATTGTGACCTTTTTTGTGTGTGCGCACAGCTTGCAAAACTACTTTAGGCGGTGCACACTATTTTATTGTCCACATCTGCCTGTTTTGTGCCAACCTCTGAAGTGTTTAGGATTTAATCTGCTAGAGTGAGATGAAGATTCTGCTCAACTTCTGAACAAATCCGATCCAGTCTTAATAATGATCATTTATCATCTGTGTGGTTTTTAAGCCTGGATCTGCGTTCTGCCAGAGGAGCAGCTCCCATGCAGGTGTCAAAATACAGCTCTCGAAACACCTACAACACAATCATAAAGTGTTGGAGACACCAGCAACAACTGTGACTATTTTGAAAGAAAAACTGGTCACACGAACTTTTTAAACGTGTTCAAAAATTCATGTGACAAGACTGCGAGCCAGGACATTATGAACCACTGCAAGTACGGTAGTTGGGGACACTTTGGACATTCTCTCACAAATGCCGTTCACCAGCTGCCAGTGAGAAACTGGCTTATAAAAAGTCGTCATAATCAACATTTAAAAACTGAAAGCATAATTAAAGAAATACTTCACCTTTCTTCTTATCTTGTTCCAGTTTGGAGGATGCTTCAGAGGACTTTGCCAGGTTGACTGCAACGTCTTTTCCTTCTGCCCATGCTGCAGTTTTTTCAGAAGATGATCCATCAGTCCCACCAGCTGCACCGCCCTCATCTCCTCCCTCTGCCCAAGGATCTGTTCCACCGTCTCCTCCCCTGATGGGGGCACCATTGGTACACCCCTGATCACTCTGCTCAGAAAGGACACCCTGGCTTTGCAGGTTTAACAGTTCTCCACCCCTCTGACTTGTTCTCAGAGCGGTGCAGTCCTTATTTTCTGTTACAATCTGTTTTTCAGTGTCTTTTGCTTTGGTTTCAGTGTCCACACCGTTTTCAGGTTGTGGGCAGATCGCACCAGTCACAGAGCAAACATGCTCAGCACTCACAGTGCCTTCTTTACAGAAGTGGGGATTAGGACCACCGCTACCTAAACTAGAAGACAAGTCTCCTTTCTTCTCTTGTCCCAGACTGTATTCAACTGTCTCCTGTAAATCTACATCCCCTGACGAAACACAAGACATGAAGAGGTCACCGTGGGGTTTCTTCTCCCAGGTGAAAGAACTGGTTTGCATGGAGCAGTTATCTAAAGTCCGAGGCTGTGGTTTCACAACAGTTACACTGCCTGCTCTCCCACAGCCGACCACAACCTCACAACCCAAATCAAAGGAGTTCTGTCTCTCAATGGTGCGGAAATGAGAGACGCCTGAAGGAGGGACGACGGGTGACTCTGCAGGTGTCTTTTCTGGCAGACGAACCTGTGAGAGCGAGGACCAGCAGTCAGCATTACTCTACAGCACTGCCATCATCTAAAAGCACTTACAGATCTTGGTGTGAGTGTGTGTGTTAGCACACCTGAGGAAAACCTCCCCAGTTCCACTGCATCTGAGGCCCAGAGGAATCTTGGGATTTAAGCAAAAGCTCCGAGTCGCTTTTAGGAGAATCTGGCCGGCTGTAGAACACACTGCTGAGGACGAGAAGCACACAGAGAGGAATTTATTTAAAAAAAGAATCAAACGTAATTTATATTAACCACACTAAAACCAACACTTCACTCACTTTTCTGTGGATGACTGCTCTCCGTCAGAATGTGGATGCTGCTCTCTGGTTTGCAACGGCCCCGGCTCTCCATTAGTCTCCTCAGACATGGAGTAGTACACAGATTTACTTTAAACACAAATACAGAAAAAAAACAACCTTTAGATTCAAGCTTTGACTAGAAGTTATCCTGACGTGTGTCCAGGTAAAGACGTTTTTCTAAATAGCTGACATGTTGAACTCTGCACCTTCTTTACCACAGGAAGGTCACCACTGAAAAAGACTCACATTTTTAAATGCATTAATGAAACGTTGGATCAGTGAGACAGAGGTGTCAAGACAGGACAGAGCAACACACGTGATAACTGTGACTGGAGTAGCAACCCCAATTCACAGATACACATTTAATTAAAATGAGAGCAAAAACTGGAAAATGAACACAAATGATAAACAGACCGTTTTAAATCAGAACCAACAGGAATGAAACTTCAGTGTCTGTCAGAGACTGCTGCATTTGTGTGCATCTATCAGCCTCTTGCTTATTTCACCTCACAGGAACATGAACATGTAGGTTCAACTAACTGACCTGAGCTGCAGAGGTGTGGACATGTCCTCTGACGTGGTACTGTCCCACTGAGCTGGATCAGCTTCCTTCTCTCGGTCTCTTTCTTCTGACGAGGAGCTGGCCCCCCCTCTTAAGTGGGAATCGGAACGCACCCGCTTGCGCCGGCGTTTCTTCCTGCGGGCTCCAGAACCGGCGAAGGTGGGTCCTTCGGGTGTCTCCTCTAGCTCCTCAGGGACCTCCTGAGGAATTGGGGAGGTGCACAGGTGGGCTGGGACCTGAAACAGAAGGACGTACAGTGAGCAGAAACTGTAATAACTTTGAAAAACACTGCCACTCGTTTTGATCAGCTTACCTCCATGCTTTCATTTTGCTCCACAAAAAACGCCTCCCCGTTGTCTCCAAGCTTCATGTGCAGGTCAACCGGCTCTCCGTTTATCTCAATGTCCACCTAAAATTACAGTGGTGTGTTCAGAATTTAACGAGGGCAGACAGAAGACCTTATGCAGCCATGAAAGAGTGCGAGAGATTCAAATAAACGAGTCAAATCCTGACTATTTTCTCCTTGGAGCGCAGCACGCCGAGCTTCCCAAAGCGCACGTGAAAGGGGGAGCACTGGAAAGATCCATCAGGCTGTCGCACCACGATGACGTCGATCCCTCCGGTGAGAGTGGCGGGGTTAAGGCCCCGGTACAGCTCCTTCACCGTGACAAACACGGTCTCTGCAAACTGGCCCACAATGTTCATGGTTTGGGACTAGAAACAAGAAGAAAACAAAAAACAAGAAGTGAGAACGCGCGAGTGCCAGAAGACAACATGAAGATAAAGTGTGTGCTCTGCAATCAGCAATTTCTGCTGTCTGTGGTTAATTATTACTTCTTGTTTCCACGTTAATACTGAGATCTAGCAACACAGAGAAGCATCCAGCAAAACAACAACAACAAATACAGCAAAGCTTTGTGTGGTATATACTTACACATTTGTCTCTCAGGTACTAAGAGTTTAAATAAGTAATTACACCCTGCTGATGACTGAAAAGAATAAAATATCTAAAAAGCTTTAAAACAAGAACGCTCCAACCTTTTGACACAAGCCACCCCCAAAACAGACAGTCCAACGAATCACTGGCAAACTGGTATTTCTAGAGGTTTGAGTTATTGACCTTTGGAACAAGATGTTGCTCACGATTAAAAAGTTAAAGTCCAACAGAGAGAGTATCAGATGAGACCTACATGTTAACTACTGCAGGACGGCAGGAACTGTTGACGTCATTTTCAAATAAAACTCCCCCCGCAGGATTAAAAGCCGAGTGAATCCAGATCTACAAGCTCTACTCATGTTAAGGTTGTTCCAAAAGAATACCAGTGCTACAGTTGAACTTGTGAAGTCACCTCTGACGCGAAAACTGATTTTGCAAAAAGACGAAGGCACATATTAGAAGCTTAGAAGAAACTAAATGATTTCAAATAAAACTATACAGAAAACAAGTCGGTACAAAGCAAGACGTTGTTTAATCTTGTTTTTAATTGCTCTAGTTAACACAAACTAAATTAGTTAAACTGATCGGACCTAATATGGATCCATCAGAGCCCCATATTCTCATATGATCTAAATTATCCCCAGAAGAAGTTTTTTTCTTCTTGTCGGTCTATCACATGTCCAGAGTCTACTTGATTAGTTTTAGGACTTACCCAGAAAGATGGAGGCAGGTGTCGTCTCCTAACCAGGCGGCGTTGCCTCTGCCGCCCCTCCGCCATCAACAACACCACAAAGGCTTTTCCAAATCCACAAACTGACGAACTCTCTCAGGTGTAACTTTACCTCCATGTTTACCTGAGGAACCTCATGGCTCTGTTCCTCCTAATGCTCGGCTGCCTTTTAAAAGCTGTATCGAAGCCACGTCTGCCGGTGGACGTCAAGTTTTGTTAGCCGTGAGACATACTTCTAAACATTTATAAAATCAGTTTACAGCTCAGCTAAATGGGACTCTTCCACCTGATCAGCAGAGATCATGGTCTGGTCCTCTCACTGCCCATCCAAATCCAGCCATCTATGAGAGAGTTCTCGTACATTCACTCACTGATGCTTCCTCTAGCTCACACGATTTCACAAGTACACGACATATACACAGTCCACTGCCACGCTGAATCTATACTTCCCCTTTTGCAGTGCATATGACAGCCAGACTAGCAGTTTCTGACCGGCTTTTAAAACCAACCTGGCGTGAAAACGCATACAAACACACACACAGGCAACCCAGTTTCTGGACATGACCACAGCTCTCTGGGCCATGAGGGGACTCTCTCCAGCAGTTATGCTCCACCGGTGCTGGAAAATCCAACATAATCTTAGCTAACCAAGGAGGACGTCGAGCAAATAGTGCTCGGATCCAGACGGATCTCACTGCTCAAGCTGCTCACTGAGGCGACCTCTACAGAAAGGTAGGCCTCAGTGAACGTCAGCGTGCTCCTGTGCACTAGAAATACAGAACAGTGTTAAACTCACAGCCTTCTGCTGTGAAATACTGCACATGTCTTCGGTCATGTATGTGTTGTTTTACTAAAAGACTTTGCGTGAACTACTGTAAGCTGTGAAAACAGGAAGCGGTGGAAACGATCGTAATGATAACACAAAAATAAAATGAGTCTAACAGACACAAGCATGGATCAAATATTGAATCAGAAGGAAAATGCAGTTTCCAAATGATTCACTTAATATTGTTTTTATGACTTCATTAGGTTTAAATGCCAAGGTTATTACAATCTTTCCAGATTAGTGCAACTTGTGATGTTTTAAAAAAAATAAACATTATCAGTCATTGCAAACTAACTTGTTCTGAAACCCAGTGATTAACATATACTGTAATATATTGACTATTTATATACTGATCTGGTCAAATATTTGCCAGAAATGTATAGTAATAGTTAGTACAGTTTGTACAGATCAACAAACTAATGAACAGAATTTTATTTGAGCTGCAAATTTGTCAAAGAGCCACATTACGCCTGCCGATAGAGGGGAGAGAAATCTTCTTATTATGTACAGTCAATGTTTGTTCATAGTAAATCTTACTGTTCTGACATTTTTGTTTTAGTCTCATCTAAATGTCATGTCTCATGTTCTAGAATTGCGCCGCTCGGGATGGCTGCATGTTGGAGCAGCTCTGTTACTTTCATTCTGAGTTATTGCGTTTGGAAACTTTAATTCCTCTTTTTTCTGGAAGTAAATCACATTTTTCGGATGATTACTTCCTCTGGTATCGGATGCTGTGCAGCTGGAAGGATTTTTACTGAAACCTTTTTACTTTTGGGCATTTGTTATTATGCGTAACCATGACAACAAGGTGTTTTTTTTTTTTTTTTTTAAACAACCAGGAGCAGCTGATTAACATCACAAAAGCTCACATATCTCAACTACAGCCCCAAATCCCATTTGAGTTGAAAAGGAGGTGCCGTGGACGAATTCCCGTCAACCTGGCGGCCGTGCTCGAGTACCTGACCACCGAGATCCTGGAGCTGGTGAGAAACTCTGCTTGTGACAACGGGAGGACCGGGATCATCCCCCAGCACCTTCAGCTGTCTGTCAGTGGTGACGAGGAGCTCAGCAGACTGCTGGAAGGAGTGGTCATCGCTCAGGGAGGAATTCTGCCCAGCATTCAGGCAGTCCTGCTGCCCAGGTGGACCGAGAGGCCCACCGGATCTGACAGCACGTTGGGTCCAGGTGGACAGATCGGTGTCTGTGGCCAGATTCTTCACTGCAGAAGATCCTTCCTGCCCACAGCTATCAGCATCTATAACAACTCCTGAATGAAACCAGGATGATGAGCTACGACAACTCTTAATTTCCCTCTGGGATTAATAAAGTATTTTTGAATTTGAATTTTGAATCTGAATAAGAAAAATTAGACGCAAAAAGCAAATTAACTAGCTTGTGATGGACTGAAAATCAAGTTACTGATGACTTAAACATTGGACTCAAGGCTTGAAGTGGTAGATAAATACATACAAACACTTTAATTAATTTAAATTAATATAATCAATTTCAGGGCAGCACGGTGGCGCAAATGGTAGAGCTGCTGCCTCTCAGCGAGCAGGTCCCTGATTCAAACCCCGGTCCAGGGGCCTTTCTGGGTGGAGTTTGCATGTTCTCTCCGTGCATGCGTGGGTTTTCTCCGGTTTCCTCCCACAGTCCAAAAACATGCATGTTAGGCTGATTGGTAACTCTAAATTGTCCCTAGGTGTGAGTGAGAGAGTGAATCGTTGTTTGTCTCGTTTGTCTCTATGTGGCCCTGTGATGGACTTGCGACCCGTCCAGGGTGTACCCCGCCCCTCACACAGTGATTGCTGGACATGGGCACCGGCGACCCCCGCGACCCAAAATGGAATAAACGGGTAAAGATAATGGATGGATGGATGGATAATCAATTTCAATTAATTGAAATACATATAGACACTGTGGTCAAGAAAGCCCGATAGACTACTTTTTAAGAAGATTAAAGAAGTTTGGTACAAACTTCCTCACTAACTGTTATAAGTGCACCACTGAGAGCCTGCTGACAGCCTGCATCACAGGGTGGTATGAGACCAGTAAGAGCCAGAAAGAACTACAGAGGGTGGTGCAAACAGCAGAGGACATCACAGGTTGCAGTCTCCACACCATCCAGGACATCTACCACATCCGATGGACCACACCCACCCAGCACAAGGACTTTTCCATCTACTACCCTCAGGAAGACGATACAGGAGTCTGCCATCGCGCATGAAAAGACTAAAGGACAGCTATTACCCACAAGCTGTCAGATTATTGAACTCTTGATGATACTGAACAACTGACAATAGCATTGCACCAAGCCACATCTGTGACACCTAATGTGTTTACTGCTGCTGCACCGTGTGGCTGTATCATGTACGTCACTACCATACCGTCACAATTCATCTCTATGTTACTCACTACCTGTGCAATAACCTGTCGCACAACATATGCAGTTTATGTTAATTATGTGTAATATACATCATGTGCATTATTGTGAAATGCTCGTTTGTGCAAATTCATCCTGCTTGCACAGTTATATTCTACAATGTTTACTATAGTGTATTTCTTTAGGACCTTGTAAATATTATATTTCTTTTTCATTTTTTGCTACTTTATTTTGTACCCTTATTGCACGCTTTAGCATTTCTTGTTTTGCTTGTGTTCCCAATTGATGTCAGGAATTTTAGATATTTATGTTTAAATGAAGTAGGGGAACAACGAGCATAGAAAGCAATTATATTTCATATATCTAATATTTTCTTCTTGTTCATCTAAACCTGCTAAATACTGAAGACAACCTTCACTGAAACCTTAAAAGTACCCAACTTCACTTTTACACTCGACAAATTCAAAGTTAGCATCACATTAAAATGAAACTTTTATGGAACGGTAAGTCTTTTTTGTCCATTTTTTAATTAGCTGTCTTCTGTTTCATGCATTTTATTTGACTTCAGATGCAAAACAAACATTGAAACAACTAAAAACAGGATAAATTGTGCCATAAAGTGTTTTCTACTGGTCAGATCTGTTTAGTTTATATATGGATTTTTCAAGCGACTTTAAATAAATTATAACTACAGAAGAAGACATGGGTCAATGAATGACAACCACTTCCGCAACAATTGTGTTTTTGCCCAGTAAAAATGACTCAGCTCGAAATATCAGCCCTTGAGCGTTTACAAAACTCTCCCTCCAAAACACTAGCAAAACTTTACACAACTTCACTGCAGCTTAGTTTAGCTAGCGATCATCTCCGTGATAGAAAAACTTACGTAGAGTCGTGAACACAATTAAGTATCAGAACTAAGATATGTTCCTCGACTCAAACACTAAACATTTTCCACAACGTCTATATAAGCGACATAAAGTCTTTTTTTTTGGCTTTAAAGTAAAGGAAACCGAGAAAACTCACCTTTACCGACGTCTTTTTAGCTTGAAAAACAGTCCATCTTACTATTGCAATGCGCCTGCGCAGTCCTACGTCACACTCTCCTCTAAGCCAATCAGAAACTGGATTAGAAGAATAGCCCGCCTCCAAAGATGGTAAACAAACAAGGCGAGAAGCGTGTCTGTGTACTGGTCAAGGGTTAATGTGTGCTATCACCATTCTTCTTGACAACTAATACAGCATACACACATTTAATAATTTTGTTATAATAAAACAGCTACCAGATTAAAGCTTTAATGAAATACAAGAGCATGTCAGATTATTTGAGCAGATTACTTGGCCCCTTCTGGCAAAAATGCAATGCGGTATAAATTGCATAAAGTGGCTGCTCTTCTTAAGATGAATTATTTATACTATTTTGACCCATCGACGAACTAAAACCAGCAACTTTGGTAACTGTTACATCAACAGGGTTTTAAAAAGTAATGGCAAACATCTGTTTTAATAAATTACAATATTTTACTTTGTATATTATATATATTTTTTTTACAAATATTGCTCGGCATACATATATGTTCATCAAAAGTTCATGTAGGACGAATAAAATAAAACACACCAGCCTTTAGTTTATATTCAGGGTTTCTAATCCAGTTGTGTCCAGTAGAGGGCGCCCCTGCACTTTCACTGTTCTTAAAACTGCTGCCTTTTCCCCCCATATTAACCATGTCTACTAAAATTCCAGTTAAACGTGGTTATAATTTCATTAAAATAAATTATACACTATCAAACGCTACATTTCCAAACAAGAAGCATTTAATACACATTATAGTTCTTATTAAACTTTAAATAAGAACTATATCAACTCCTCCCTCTTTCTACACATATAGGACAATCAAATTAATCCTGCCCTGCAATAAACACTTTAATGTTTCTGTCTGCACTTGACCTGTTTTAGAACTTAATTGTTGGCATTTTTATATTCTCTGTTATTTTTTTTTTATATCTTGTGTGATTCCTTGTCTAAGGTCCTTTGGACTGAAACTCTGGCACAACAATTTCCTGCGGGGTCGATAAAGTTCCATCTTATCTTATATTGTGCATTTAATGCTTAATTTGGTTTTACACCAACTATCAGAAAGTATTTAAATAGGTTTATTTAAAGTCTAATACTTTCTGATGGTGTAAAACCAAAATAAGTGATAAAACCTTGAAAGGGGGCATTAAAATGTGTTTTAATTACAAATAAATGAATTCAGCCTAAATTATGCTTATTTAAAGAGGGTGAACATTTTGATAAAACACTTAAGTATTTAGGACAAAAACAACTATCCTACGAAGAAAGAAATTAGGGAGTAAATGAAAGAAGGCGTTCAGGTGTTGGTTGTCCGGCCTGGCTGCCTATTTAAGGTAAGCAGTTGTGTTTTATGCGTTTTATGTTGCTCTGCACCTCCTCACAGCCTCCTCCTCCTAAATATTTAGACTCCTTTCTCTAAACAAGAAAGGCCTTTCTGCCTTATCACAGTTCCTGTCATTTGGGCCTTTCCCCCCAAACATCCCTGAGCAGCAGGGACGGTGGCAGCACAGACCAGTCCCTGCATTCCTTTGCCTTGTATGGACAAATGGTCCTGCGTGGGACGTCTGTGGACCAGGACAGGCTGCTCTCTCCATTGGCCGGTGGAGGCAGGGAGGGGTGGGACCCACTGTGAGGAGGAGGAGGAGGAGAAGGAGGAGGAAGGGGCAGTCTGATCCTTTTCTTTAAGCAAACTTTCAGGAGTGCTGGGTGTTCTTTTGCCTCTGCTGTGACGGAGCCAGACTCAGAGGAGTAGAGGGACTCCCAGCAACTTGTGTCTGAAGCCGAGGTGAGTCTGGAGCTGCTTTGCACAAACTGAGGATTGTGTGTGTGTGTGTGTGTGAAGTGGCTGTTCTGTGTGTTGGTGTCAGAGCTGAAGAGGAGGTAAAGAGCAACAGGGAGCCTCTGTGGAGGTTTCTTCATCCTCCAGTTGAGGATGTGCTCCAACATGATGCTGTGTCCTGGCGGGTCTGGGGAGTTTCAAGTGACCCATTTCATGTTGTTGTCTCTCACTCACACTTCTGATGATGATGAGGACCTTTGTTAGCAGACAGAGCTCACATTCCTCTTCTCTCTGTTTGCTCTTGGAATTCCTCTCAGTCCACCTCCAGCAGAGGCTGCAGGCTCTGAAACTGGAGATGACAGCTGGCCTGACTGATATCAAACAGTGCGTGTGTTGGACAAGAGGACAGAGGGTCTTTGTCCCCGTCTGGAGCCAGGGAACAAGCAGTGATGTGACACCGGTGTCCAAAATAAGTTGTTTTCAGATTCGTTGCTGATTAGTTTTAAACTGAAACGTATTTTATTTTATACTCAACCCCACTGAGGACTCTTGTAAATGAGTCCCTGAGATTCAATGGGATTAATCTGTATAAATAAAGGTTGAACTGAAACTATATATATGTTTTTAATTCAAAGTTTTTAAACGAGGTGGAGAAATCTACATTGTTCAGCTGACGGAGAACAAAACGCAGTCCTAATTTTAAACAAGGATGCGTCCAATTAAAAAATTTCTATTGAACTACTTTTCCATCAAGTCTGCAGATAAAGAGTGGAGTGGAGTGTTGTGAGGGAACTTTACCGAAAAGATCTTATCAGGCTCAGGAATTCCTCTTGTCGGGTCGTTTTTTATTTCCCTCTGTGCGTCAAAAGGGGCTAAAACCTTCCAGACTTCTTCAATAATGTGTCAGGACTCTGTGCAGACAAGTGAACGTAAAGAATGATCCAACAGACATGACTGGTGACAGGACCTGTAGGTGTGTTTGCACCACTTAGCATTCTTTTTTTGTCCTGTCTGTAGAACCAGACATGCAGATCCTTGTGTCTTTGAGGAAATCCAAGTCAAGTTATTCATCAGGACCATAAACTTTAAACCGATCATACATTTGCATCAAATGGGACTCGGCTGCATGAATTTGTATAAATAACAGAGCATGACTTCTTCTTTTGACTGCAAGTGCAAAACAATTAAAGAGTTTTATTCTTGTTGATGGAATAAATGACAGACTGTCACACACACCTCTGAAGAAGATGTGGTGAAAATGGGAAAGCTATTTTTAAAACCGTGGCAACACAAGTCTGTCCAAATCGTTGCACCGGAGGAGGAAATGGGATTTAGAAACGAGTTTTAGAGAAAAATGTGCGTTTGTTTGTGAAACGAGTCCATTTCATGAGCACGTTTATCTCAATTATATGTTTCACATAAGGAAAATAAAACCCATATTGGGTCTTTTAAGGGCATTTAAGTTGAACAGACGGTAAATACAGACACTACAATACATTTTAATGATTTTGGTTTACAATGATTAAAATCAAATATGACTAAATTAACACTTTGCTGAAAATGAACAGAACCATTTGGAGGAGTGTGTAGTTCACCACAGCACATGCCAAAGTTTCAGGCGGGGCTCTTCAGTGATCTTGAAGAGGTTCAGAGTATGTGTAGGGGATGACTCTCAGCTACTACCACACCAAAGTTTAACTCCTTATATGCAAAACTGACCTAGTTAGGTACATTTGGGTTTACTTGGGTCAAATGGCAGCTTGGAATGAGTCGACCTCAAAATCCAATCAGCTGTAGATGTATCCAGTGATTACTTTCTGACAGTTTAATGAAACCTCTCCTGATGTTTATAAAATATTTTGCCAACATACAAAAGAACATGGACACACACTCAAGCAAATGTATCTTCATCCACCTTTTATGGCGACAGACAATAACAAAATTATTACCTATTAAACAAATGATCATTCTCTAAGCTGTCAGAGGGAATAAATATTTTTAAAGTACGTTTGTTAGCGTGAATGAACTGATGTGATATAGAAGCTGCAGTCCGTCAGGATATGTCGTTCTTACTTACTCAACCTTATTCTCCTGCTCCACCCAGCCTGTCCATCTGTCCTCCGGCAGCGTAACGGGGGTGTACAGTCCTGGAAAACTCTCACACATACACACCTACCTATATGAGGTGAATCCTCGACCTGAGCATGAGTGACGGGTCTAATTCTGGACTGACAGGAAGTAAACAGCTGCAGAGACGTGTCATTTTCACACCCATCAGAGCACCTGACGTTTACAGAGTGTGATTCTCTTCTCCCACCCCAAGAGCACGTGAGAGAAAAGATCCGTCCAAATGAAGGCAAGGGATCTGTGAATTTCTAGAAACGTGTGGAGCAGTTCTGCTGCGCTGCAGAGTAAACCAGGCCGTGAAAACGTGTTTGTCCTTTGACAGAGTTGTTGTTGTTGGTCACATTTTGAGGTTTCAGATAAAACAAATGCTACAAAATGCAGTTTTTAGGTGATTTATTTCAAACCCGTTTCAAACTAACCTGGTTTTATGTGATGAAGTAAATGACCTCTGAATCTAATGTCTGCTTGTGCCGCCCTTGGTGACTTGACTGTGATCAAATGTTTGCAGTGATGAGGATTTCACGTGGCTGTGGTGGAAATGTGGAGGCCCGTGTGTTTCAGATCATTATTCTGCTGCAGAACACGAGAGCTGGAGCTGGACAGGAAGTCATGGCCAGACATTTTCTTCAGGATTTTCTGGCAGAAAGCTGAATGACTGGTTCCATCAAATACGTATCCAGGACCTGAAGCAGCAAAACAGCCCCAGACCATCATACTACCACCTCCGTGTTTGACTGTTCTTAAGATGCTGTGTTGGTTTTAGCTGTTCCACGTTTGTCTCATCAGTCCACAGAATATTTTCCCAGAAGTCTTGGGGGTCAATGAGACGGCTTTTGACTGAGGACAGGTGTTTTATGTTCTTTTTGCTCAGGAGTGGCTTTGGTCTTCACAAAGACCCATTTTTTTTATCTTCCTATTGTTCAAACATGAACCTTAACTGAGGCAGATGAGGCCTGCGGGGCTTTAGACGATGATCCGGGTTCTTTTAGGACCTCTGGATGAGTCGATGTGCTCTTCCTACCCTAGATGAATGAAATCATCATCGTCATCATCTCCATCCAACCATCAAAGCTATTTTATATTTACTCAGGTTATTTGTGTTTGACAGGTGTGTAAAAATAAATAAATAAATAAAATTTGTAAGGATCAATTTTTTTCATTGTAATGCTGTGAAATAGAGGGGGGGGGGGGACCCACTATCAAAATTAATAAAATAATTAAATATCGGGTACATTACCAGTAATGCGATAAATCCAAAGCTCTATTATTCAAAGTACCCTGCAGTCACACTCTGTACACCAAAAATAGATTGGACCGATCAGACTGGATGTGGTTGTCGTGGCTTTATCACAACCATTGTCATTGTAATATAGAACACTATTTTTGCACATTTCTTTTAATATTGTGCAGCTTTATGCTGAAATAAACATTAATTGATAATTAAACACAAACCCAGGCTGCTCCTGATCACAGTTTGTTCTAACCTGTAAAAACTGTACAGCAGGTCCTGACCAGCTGCCACCATGTCCAGCAAACGTGCCAAGGGAAAGACCACCAAGAAGCGGCCTCAGAGGGCCACCTCCAACGTCTTCGCCATGTTCGACCAGTCTCAGATCCAGGAGTTCAAGGAGGCGTTCAACATGATCGACCAGAACAGGGACGGTTTCATCGACAAGGAGGATCTGCACGACATGCTGGCCTCTTTGGGTAAAAAAAAAAAAAAGAAGCTTTTTGTGGCTGCAGAGTTCTTTTACTGCATTTAACAGGCATAAAGACGCAGTGAGTTAATCAAAGTTTAACAACAAAGTCCGTGCTCAATAATCCAGGTATACAATCCAACAATTTTCAGTCAGGTCATCTGGCCAGTTTTTTCTTTTTTCTTTGCGCTGAAACGTTTCACCTTTTAACAAATTCATCTTTAAATAGTTTACATTTAGCTGCTTGGATAAATACTGTAAACTAGAACTCCTTTTGCCTAGAAGCAAATCCCTGACCGTTGATGGCCTGCTGCTTTGATTAAACATCAGTATTTCTTATGCGTTCATTCATAACCCTGAAAAAGACGAGTACGTTGAGCAAGTTCAGAGACCACAGAACAGTTCAGTTTTTCTGATTCATTTTTCCCTCGTTGGATTTGACTGTTTAGATTAGAAATGCCTGATTTCCTCTTCTCTTTGAATCCACATTTCATGCCTCTTGAGTCTTTCACTTTGTCGTTGGGTGAGGGTGACTTGTTGCCACTCCTGGTCCAAAAGATTCAAGCAGCTCAGTTGTGTGATGGTTTGATGCCCAGCCTTCTTCCTCTTGATGATGAGGTTCAGATCTAGAGATCAGGCCGGCTGTGACGGTCTTGATCTGATCCTTCATCCACACCCGGACCACTGAAACCCTGATGTGCATCCCTCTACCAGTAAAAGCTTCGTTGAACCATTCTTTTCCTCGATCAAAACCTTTTTCCACTTCTTGAGGTCTGGTCAGTAGTGGTGGTTTTTAAACTCTTCGTTAATAAATAAAATTAGAATAACATGATGTGAGGGGAGGGGGGTCAACAGACACGGGGCTGTCCTGCATGTAGAGGCTGATTTCAGACAAATTAAGCCTTAATTAGTTCCAGAGCAGGACTTCTTCTAACTGTGGTCTTACCCGCAGGTAAGAACCCCTCTGATGAATACCTGGAAGGAATGATGAGCGAAGCGCCGGGGCCCATCAACTTCACCATGTTCCTCACCATGTTCGGAGAGCGGCTCAACGGGACGGACCCCGAGGACGTCATCCGCAACGCCTTCGCCTGCTTTGACGAGGAGGGATCTGGTGAGTGGATCTATACCGACCCCCCCCAAACTTCACAAACACCGTATGAACTCTGTGCAAAGTGCCATATTTCACCTGCCTGTGCTTTTCCCAGGCGTGATCCACGAGGACCACCTGAGGGAGCTGCTGACCACCATGGGCGATCGATTCACGGATGAGGAGGTGGACGAGCTGTTCCGCGAGGCGCCCATCGACAAGAAGGGCAACTTCAACTACGCAGAGTTCACTCGCATCCTCAAACATGGAGCAAAGGACAAGGATGATGAGTAAAAGAAGACCCCACACCCCACCCCCCACCCCAATGTACACACTGCACCATAAATCCATCAGCAGCTCCTCCTTGTAGATGGGAATAATTTAAATGAGTCCAGCATTAGTGTGTGATGAAACGGGGCAGGTGTCGGTCAGAAGTTTTGGACTCTAAGGATGGATTCTGCACCAGAGTGTGCATGGGGGGTGGGGGGGTCTGTTGGACTTTGTTTCAGTGCAGTACCAGCCTTGTTTACTCCTCTCTCTGCCAGTTCGCTGCTGCACTTACACAAGAACAGCTTTGTAAGATCTTCGTCTGATTAAAAACAAATGATTGTTTTTGACAACCAAGAGATTATTATTCCCGCCTGTTAATCTGAAACGTTCGTGTTCTATCGGTGCTTTGTTTTTTTTTTGAGGCATCTGTGTTGTTGGGAGTCTTAAAGCTGCTCAGGCAAATAAATGTTAATGCATCAGACCTACCAGAGAACATGGTTCCTTCATATACTCAAAGCACCATCACTGTTTTTATAATGACCAAGATTTTATCTCTACATAAACCATATCTGGAGGTATTGTTAAATAAACGAGCTAAAACCTGCTGCACCGTTTCGTCCTCCCGCACTTCTCCAACGTTGGCTCATGGAGACAACAGATCCAGGAACAGATGCCAGACATCCCTCTGCCTACATGTCAACATTAAAAATAGGTTTTGTATGCATGGGGTTAGCGCGTTGTTGCCTTTGGGCATGAAGAAAAATGCACAAGTGCATAAATAAACCTTAAGAATGAGACATTTGCATTTAGGACTTGATCATATGTTAAATAAAAACAAGATAGGGTGATAAATTATAGACTTTAGATCAGAGCTATTCAACTAAATTACTCAGGGGGCCAGTTACTGAAAGCCAAGAGCACAGGGGCCGGACATTCAGCAGTTATTGTCATTAAGTAAGTTCGTTTTACATTTTAAAATCTAGCTTTATTTAAAAATTTACCAATTGGTGGACTGAACTGAGCTCACTTGTGGGCCTAATTTGGCCCCCGGACCATCAGTTGAATGGCCAGAAGGGAGACAAACTTTAGTGAAATTGATCTTTTAAGATGAAGTTCTGGGAAAAACTTATGTTCCTGCATTTTACATGTTATCTGGATGACATCGGGTTGAAAACGCTTTCCTCTGACTGTGTTGATACAGAGCGAGTCGTGATGCTGAGTCCTAAAGTGGCTTTCATCTCAAACATGGTGGTTGGCATCCATCTTAACGATGCATTTCCTCCTAATCTTAGTTTCATAGCAGTTCACCTATGCCTTTGTATAAATGTTTGCCAATTTTGGATTACATGATTATTTTCTCAGACTTTTATATTTAAGTGCATTCAGCAGCAGCTAGCTGTTGCACTTCCCGTGCATCGAGGTACTTAAGGAATATAATTTCTGCCTTAATAACTGTAATGCAAATTTGACAGAACAAGGGTTTAAAATTAATGTTCACACAAACCACTGAAACTTTAGGAAGTTGTCATTTGAAGGCAGAGCCCCACCGTGGGACGGGCCGAGCTCCACCCAGCCATTCAGGGGCACCGCTGGAAAATATTTAAAGGGGTGGCCAGATGGGTGCCACCACTAATATTAGGATGGTGCACCAAAAACAGCACAAATAAAATTTCATTAGTATGTTAACAAAAACAGGCTGTTAGAAACACACTGCAGTCAGAGTTAAGCCTATTTTGTTTTAGTTTATTGAAAACGGAACAGTCACTGCTCATCTCATTAACTCATATGAGTTAAAAGTAATGCAATGCATGAGACGTAAGACCCTGTTCTTGAGGACAGTGGCTTTCTGCATCAGTTTATTCTATTAAAGTTGGATCTGTTGAAGGGAAGCAGATCATAAAACCCATCACTGTTTGCTCAAAAGAGCCCAATTTAATTAAATGGACTGTACTTGGTGTATATAGCGCCTTAGATACTTAAAGCTCTTCACACTACAATGTTCTCATTTACCCATTCGTACAGCACTCTACTACATCTGTACAAAGCTAAATGAACAAATCATTCTTTAGAGACTAATCAGAGCTTTATCACATTCACACCGATGGGACACACATCTGAGGCAATGAGGGCTTCAGTGTCTTGCCCAGGGACACTTCAGCATGTGACTGCTGGTGGAATCGAACCCCCAACTCTTGCATTGGAGGGCTGCTCCAACCTCTAAGCCACAGCCGCCCTAACTTAACTTTAAACAACCAGTTAACTTTACTGGCCGCTAATGAGAAAAGTGGTACGGTCACAAAGTTATTTTATTTACAAAGACAAAATATTTTTAAAAAGAATTTTATTTCTTTGAAACGTTCATACAAAAACACATTTAAAGTTTAAGGCGTATATTGCACGGACAGTTGAGGTTTTAATATATATTTTTGAAGAAATCAAAAAAAGGAGAAAAGTCGGAAGAGGTGGGTAAATATTCCCTCAGTAGAAGGCTTAAGGCACAGCAGCCACTCATACTGCTACAAGTCAGTCATGATTTAGAACAGACAAAAATGACATTTCTAAACTTGTTTGGCTGGATAGGAACTACAGTTTGAGACCAGGCTCCTGCTTGTAGAAAAAAATAAAAATAAAAAAAAAGTCAGTCCGCTCTCAACCTTCAACATATTTACATCGCCACATCTTCGTCTCACAAGTGTCAGTTTACATTTACAACCCGATACAAACGCTGCGGTATAAAACCATTCCAGTATCGCAACCGCCGAGGCGTCGTCACAGTGCATCTCTGTAGGACGAATTCAAATATCACTAGAACACACGTCCGGTGTAAAATGACAAACGCACACTATCCTCCCCAGGATTATTAACCTGTCGTTTGTACTGGCTCACAGAACAAAAGGCAGAGGCCACACACACACACACGCAGGTGGGTTTATCTGGAATGGTTGAGATGTTTGAGTCTCTGCAGTAATAAGACCTTACGTCAGAACTTTTCCTGTCCTTAACAACTTAAATGCACGAAACACACCAGCTTGAACTAAAGTCTGCTACACTGGAGAATCAGACGGTACAATCCTGCTACAGTAACGAGCAAAAAGCTTTCCAGCTTTCCTCTATGCACGGTCAGTACATGCCCAGAGAGAGGTCAACAACACGTTGTGGTTTATCCTAACAGTTTCACAGAAACTACAGCTTTATTGATGATTAGACTCGACAGAAACTAGCAGAAAAAAAAAGTGTGGGAAAAAAAAAATATATAATTCTATACAAAACAATCTAAATGTGCTACATTTGTTTAGTCAAGAACCAGCACATAAAAAACTTATTTTTACAAATGGGACTTTCAAACATACATTTATAAAAAAAAACAAAGACGCTAAGGTCCCAAAACATCAGAGAAATGTAGACATAAAGGGATCAGTCACTAAATACTTCTACTCAGGCTGCTGTGTCACAGAGCACAACCTTTTCACTGTTAAGTAGCAGCTGCGTTTATTCTGGACATCAGAATAGGAAATACTTTGAAGTTTCACCGTGGAATAGAATTGGCGACCCAAGGTTGTGGCAGAGGGCACGCACAGAGCAGCCGACATGACGACGCAGGAACCGCTTGGCTATAAAAAGGCCGGGCGATGGGTCACTCGGCCCAGCTCGCTGCCGTCTACCGTTTCCCTTCTGCCCAGTTTTACTACAAGAACGAATGAAGAAATGTGCTGGAAAAACTAAGAGACTAACATTAAAACACTCTAATCTCAACCGCACAACTGGTGAGACCAAGCAAACCGTTGTGCGTTGGTTTTGTTCAAATAAAAAAGAAAACGTTTCATCCAGATGTGGAAAAATGGGACGATGGGCAACTTCACTGATGTGCTTTGTACATTCACAAGTCCAGCGCTGCTGCAGGAGAGGCTGACTCTGCTGCGCTAACACCCACTCAGTCTAACTTTGTACACAGACAGCGGTGCTTGAACGTTTGCGGACCCTTGAAAATGATCTATGTTTCTGCATAAATATGATCTAAAACATCAGATTTTCACACAAGTCCTTAAAGTTGAAAAAGAGAATCCAGTTAAACAAAAAAAGACACAGATGGTCATTTATTTACTGAGTCAATGATCCAATACTGCATTACATATTTGTGAGTGAAAATCTGATGGTTTAGATCATATTTATGCAGAAACGGACAATTATAAATGGTTCATAAACGTTCAAGCACCACTGTAAATACTTTCCTCCTTGTCCATAGCTCCGACCTTTTGAAGTGGGGTTCTGTGGCAAGTTATGAACAATTAACATCTTACCTGTTGTGGATGGCGCTTTAAACAAACTCAAGTTTGGAGAAACTGTTTAATTCTGACCAGATTCATGAGCTCATGATTTGTCAGTGGAGCCAGATTAAAGTAGATTACTGCGGTCTTAAAAATAATAAAAAAAACATTTCACAGCAGTTTGTGTTGATGCTTCACTATCAGTTTTGAATTACAGGTACTTACATACAGTTCAGGTGGTTTTGTAAGTAGAACAGAATAGAAATAACTTTAAAATTCAGGTGTACCAGCAGCAAGGTGAAGGTAAATCAAACGATGCAGATTCACACAAAGGTAGAAAATATAAAAACAGAATATGACTAGAGATAAAAAGTGATTTGCGAATATTTGAAGTATTTTTGACTGTCGCAATAATAATAATAATGATTTTTTTTACTTCTTGCACCGGCATCCATCCGGTAGTGACACGCCAAGATGGGGAAATAATATTTAAAATCAAACGTTTACAGACTAATTCAAAAGTGTTTTTGTTTAGGTCCCATCCCTAGCAGAGATTTTTGTCCAGGACATCCTTGTAAAATAGATTGATGATCTCAATGGATTCCTTTCTGGTTAAATAAAGGTATTAAATAAAAGATGTTTTAAAAAGGCAGCAACCCACTTTGACCATGGCCCCACTCAGACTAGTCATTAGCTCATCAATTTAGTCTAAGTTATGCTCCAACGGGATTTTCAAAGATGACCTCCGACAGGTAAGATATTATTTAACTTTGTCGCAGAATATCCAAACTATCCTTTTAATGCAACACGTGAAGATAAAATCAAAACATTTAAACTCGAGGCGTCATGAAATGATCAGCTTTCCCACTGTCAGTGCATCAAACACTACATCCTCTGTGTGATGTGCAGACTCAGGCTAAACATACATTCTCCCGTACAGTGTCCAGTCTCACAGAGTCCGTCTGCACTCCACCATAGACTCTTAACAACCTGCTGCAGCTAGTTCACAGGTTCGCTCAACGTGTGCATGCTGTGCTGCGGCCCCCACACTGTGGCAATGGACGTTTTCATCACCTGGAGGGAACTGGTCTGCCTGGCGTTAGTGTGGACCATGCTCCAAACACTGGGCACGGCGGCTGCATTCCTCTGAGAGCTGCTGCTGCCTGTGGAGGAGGGCTGCAGAGGGGGGAGCTGGGTGCTGAGGCCCAGACGAGGCACCATCGCTGACACGGGAAGTGGGGCAGAGGCACACCCTGGGGTTGAAACGGGACCTGCAGGTGGTGCGCAGGATGAAGCAGGCAACATGCATGGAGCCGTTACCGGGATCAAGATGGGTTTGTGGAATGGCAGGTGAAGTGGGGCTTCTTTAGAGGGCTGGTGCGAGGTCACCGATGGAGGAGAGGCGGCTGCTGCCGGGGATGAATCCCAGCTCCCATCGGAGACTGAGACGAGACTTGTGGCTGGTGGAGAGACGAGCGATTCCAAAACTGGCCTTGTTTTCAGCTCTGATGGGCTCACAGGACATGTGGTGGGAGACGAGACGAGATGAGATGAATCGAGTTGTGGGGTTGGGCTGACGGCTGGAACTACACCTGGTCTCTGTAAATCTGGCGGCCCCAGGACTAAGGCAGACGCCGGCGCTGTGGTTGGGAGATGGGCTGGGATGAGCTGAGGCTGGTTTGGGTTGGATGGTCCGACAGAGGCTTTCTCTGAAGGGGTCCATATGACTTTGTGTAATGGAAGAGAAGATATCCTTGAGCCTGAGAGAGGTGCGACGACCGGAGACTCAACTAAAGTCCCAGCAGAGTCTGGAACAGCCATCGCCTTCTCCATCAGACTTTGCACTCTGGAAGGATCCATGATCTGTTCATCTGGCGGTGGGTTCGAGCCTGCGTCGTCGCTGCAAGCACTGAGTACCACTTCAATCTCAGAGGGTTTGTTCTGGCTCTCCTGCTCTGCGGCCCTCTGCAGAGCAGCGTCCACCAGGAGCCTCAGGTCACTGAAGTCCTGTGTGGGGTACAGCTCGGGGGGAGTTGGGGGAGGTGTGTTGAAGAGGCCACTGCTAGAGCTAGCTGCTGATGTTATGCTGCTGACACAAGCTGTGTGAGCCCCCCTTTCATCTGCCTCCCTCAGTAGGCTCTGAGTGTCCAACTTCATGAGCGCCTGGACCGAGCCTTGCTTCCCGGGGTAGCCCGCTCCCGTCAGAATGGCTGTGGCTGTGCTCCCCAGCAGGCTGAGGTCCAAAGTAGGGGCAGAGCGAATCACAGATGGACGCTGTTGAGCGCCGCTGGAAGTATTTATCTCTGGAGAGCTGGCTCTGCCTCCGGTAGACGAATGGCCCTCAGTTTTTCCACCCACCTTACGGGAGATGGTGAACTTGGTGGGATCTTTGCCGTCCTTGCGTAGCAGGCTGGGGAGAAGGCGGCGGCGTGCGTTGATGAACCAGTTGCATATCTGAAAAAGCAAAGACACATTTTGGGCATAAATTACACCAAAGTTTCAATTATTTGAGCCAAAAATATAACTTTGTTCCATTCAGGGATCAGAATCTAAAAAGATGCAAGGCTGTGATTCTAGTGTTTTTCATTTATGCTGGACTCACGCCCTCTACTGGTGCATCAAGGAAGAACAGAAGACAGACTTCGAACAGCTGGCAGTAATGAAGATCTGAGCTAAAAAAAAAAATGCTGAGCCTCAGAGAAAGTCCAGGAAATGCACTCCACTGAGTCTGCCTCCAACTACGCTCTAATCTTCTGTCCGCCGAGAAGAAAAGCGGAACTCACTACTGATGCAACAAAATCAGAACGGGGGTGACGCTGTGAACGTGTGATGGGCAGACGATGCCGAGGCTTCGGAGCTCGAGTCGTTCTTCGTGAAGCAGAGCGATTCGTAACACCGTGCCGGAGCTCGCATCGAAGCACCCGTCACGTGACAAATGACGCTCGAGGCTTCAGACGCCGTCGCTCTGCGTTGCCTCAGAAAGGTTCAGTGTGATCTGAGCCAGTCACAGTTTTACAGATCAGAATGGTTTGCTGCTACTGAACCTATTCAAGGTGCATCATTATTATTAAAAAAAATGTTGGTTTGTGAGGAGATGGGACTACTGGGAAGTGAATTTGGTGATTTTCAGTAAACAGAATTCAAAGGTTTGGGATTAATTTGATCTTATTCTGCCAAATAAATTATAACGTGTCCTGGGATCTACTTTACGTTTCAATAACAGGTCACCGAATTACAACCATTTTTAGGCGTTCGCTCTTAAGTTATATACTTCATTTTTCCTTTTTCAGCAAAGAACTTTGTTGTGCTTCTGTGTCTATTATTATTATTATTTTATGAACGTGTAATGGGATGTAATCAGTATTTTGTGCAAATGAACAAACACACACAACTGACCAAACTTTTCTAAACTTCATTTGCTCGCATGTGATTGGATGTGTCAGTGCTTCGGTCGTGCTTGTGGCTCCTGTTGTCCACCACATGTATGAATCTTTTTCTGCCCGGCTGTAAGAAAAGCCTCAGTGCTTCATGTCCATCACCATCCAATCATTACTTTGCTTTGAGGCATCAATGATTTAAATGTGACAGAGCTCCAATCACGTAAAACTCAAACGTTTTGACGCGGTCTTTTTTTGCGAGCAGAACAATAAAACCATCAGAATCAGAAAAAACCAGCACATTTCCTGCGCTGGTTCCTGCCCCTCACCTGCAGCACAGAGAGCTTGGTCTGGCCCGACAGGCTGAGTTTCTCCTGCTCTGATGGGTAGGCGTTGAAGCGGTGCTCGTACAGCCAGCTCTGAAGTATCTGCACCGCCTCCTTGGGCAGGTTGCCGCGGCGACGCCGCTTCCCAAGGAGCCCCTTTCCTGACAGGTCGAGCGGGGAGCCGTCGTCGCTGTCCGACACGGCGGAGGAGTGCTCGTGCTCGGGGCGATGGTCATCCTCCAGGGCTGAAAGAGAAAACCGCCTGTGACAACAGCTCAACAAAACAATCGCCCTTTATGATCATGCAGCTAAAAAATCATCATTAAAGCTGTTGTTTGCTATAATGAAACGCTTACAGGAACAAAATGAAGCCATGTATTTGAAATAGCAGACGCCATGTGAGCAAAAGTGCGATAACTGGTAAAACAAACAATAATAATAATCAAGTAAAGTTACTACAGAACATACGAGTTGTGCTGTGTGCACAAACAAAGGTCTTTTTAGTTCAAACTTCTTTCTTTGCATCCACGGTGGGTCACTGGAGGAAACCTCCCCACAAAATGGAGCATGCCTGATCCCAGGGGTGGGCCGCAGACTGCAGTAATGTCTTTCTGTGGGGCTGGGTGAAACCTGACCCCCGGGGGCAGCGCCTGTCCTCACAAAGGAGATTGTGTGCATATCAACATCACAGCAGTCAGTGGCCCACGAAAAACAGGGGGCTGTTATTATTGTTTTTAGATAAATGTAATGTTTTTTTTTTTTTACATATAGTTTGAACCAAATGTAGTGGAAGAGATGATTCTGATGAATTTGCTCAAACCTGGACTAGGACAGGCTGGAATATATATATATATATATATATATATATATATATATATATATATATATATATATATATAATATATAAAACTCATATTAAGATACGTGTAAATATTAGTGCATTTTAAATAAAACAATGTAACTGTAATCTATTACACCGTTAGGAGCTAACAAGGCTGGGAATAATTATGATGCACATTTTATTTCATGCACTGAAATTCTCTTAACTTTTAACAAAACCAACATAATGATTTAATACCACAAATACATGTTTATGGAATTAGAAGGAACCACTTGAAGCGTGAACGTGCTCATCGTGTCTGCAGCTGTGAAGAAACGTGCTGTACGTGATCTGAGCTCCTCTGCATCCACTCATGCTCCATCATAAACAACAACAATTAGGAAGTGAGAGTGGTAGAGTTTAAAAAACATATAATGTAAAAGTCCCAGCAGCAGGAATGTAAATCAGAGTGTGTCAAACAGGCCAACTTTTTGTTTACAAGATGCCCCTCTCTCTCTGGTTACACAAGTAAACAAATGTGCGCGCAGGGAAGAGCTTTGAAGTGTTCAATTAAAAAGAAAATTAAAAATTAGTTTTCAGTTCTGCAGGTTCAGATGTTGGATTTGTTGGGTTAGTTACCAGAAAAAAGTTGCCCCCCCCCCCCCCCCCCCCCCCCCCCCCC